GCACAGCCCCGCCGCGAGGCTGGCCCTGGCAGGAACCGGGGGGCGCGGCGTCCGCCTCTTCCTGCGGGGGGCGAGTGCAGGTAAGGTGGAACCCCGGGGGGACCGCCGGTGAGCCGCCGTGCCGTCAGTCGGTGAGAGACGGAGCCGAGGAAACGGGGGAGAAGGAAGCGGGAAAACAGGCGGCGTTCTTGCGCTGGTGCAAAGACGGAAGAAACACGCCGTGGTGGGGATGTGAAGTGTGAGAAGGCGTGAGAGTAGTTTAGAACAGACGAAGTACAGTTGAATTCTAGCACCGCTGTTAGCCGCGTGCACGTCTTTTTGTCTCTAATACTACTGGCGGATTAACGAGCAAGGACAGCTCCCTGGCACTAAGCTCCGCTCTCCTTTTCCCAATGCCTTTGACTTTGGTGTCTTGCTATTTCCTCCAGTAGCTAATCCAGACTTACGCTAGCGTAAATACAAGAACGTCCATGGCAGAGGAATGGTTCTAAAAAACCTACGGTAGGCGCAAGACATAAGTAGATCTTATTCTCAAATGTATTTAAGTACAAAGTAATTATTACTCATACATTACAGATTTTGATCCATGCAATAATAAAGTTCTATCCAAAATTGGAGGAGGAATGGCGTTCATATTCTACAGAAACTGGATATGGAGACTATGAAGAAGTGCAAACCATCAGACAGGGTGAAAACCCAAATGAATAGTTCATTTTCAGGTGAATTGGGCTGTATCACAGATGCAACTGATGAGGAACAAGATGACTTACCTTATGATGGAGAGGTAGGAATAACCTGTAAATACAATAGTAATTCAGATAATTTGAATGACTGTACTTGCACAGAAGATATTTCTAGTATTTTTAACTTAGCCTGTTCTGAAGATAACAAAAACATAAAAGCAACAGTGAATTATGAAACTCATCCACAGCCTGAAGAATTCTCCAGTCACCACAGAGATGCCACAGGAACAAGGGGAATTTCAGTTGAAACGCCTGGAAGTGAAGCTTCCTTTAAGAAGGAATTACTAGTTGGTAGTTATAGTAAACCAGGTATCAAAAACCATCTAGCTAACTCAAAAGTGTCCAGTGTCCTTTTGCGTCATTTTTCTAAGGGAGAGTTAATAAGCGCATGCCAGTTAATTGAATGCGAGACAATACCAGAGACATCCTTTGCAGAAAGTATCGATGACTCTGTGAACAAACCTGAGCCTTCAGAACACATCAAAGGCCCTTTAGCACATGAACAATGGGCAACTAACTTTCAAGAATATCACTTGGAAAAGTACAAGGAAGTAAACACTGGTAATAAAAATCAAAATTTGCTAAATGAAAATAGATGTGTTTCAAAACCTGTTTCTTCCACTGTTAAGTGTGGGTGCAGCCAAGAAAATTCACAATTGATTAATGAGAATGAAGATACACATGTCTCTCAAAACACGAAGAAAGACAGCACCCTGTTTAAGAAAACCGTTTCACCTCATGAGCTCAAGTATGGCCAAGGTCAGGCTCACTATTGCCTTCCCAACTTCTCCAAAGTTGCTTCAGAAGTTAAAGTACCACAAAGCAGTGACAATATAAACTCAGTTCCTACCACTGAAAGAGCAAAATCATTCCCTATTTTGCTAAGTAAATCAGTAATTGCGAACAACATTCCAGAAAATAAGAACTATTTCAATGCCGAAGTAGAGAATCAAAAAGAAATGAGCATTCCAGAACTGCTGCAACAGCTAGAGGTAATTAAGATGCTTTAAGAAATTCTTAATACTTGGTAAAGGGTAGTTTACCATAAGATATTCTGCATTCAGTAAAATCTAACATGACTAGTTCATGCAGGCAGTCTACAGGTATCAGTGATTATATTGCTTTAGTCAACAATTGCTTTCACAAATAAAATTCTGTGGGACTGAATTTATATGGAACATTCATTACCAAATATTTAATGATGCTCTGGAGTATTATTTGTTATTATAAAGCATCCTATCAAATCATTAGGAAAATTCACTATAAATTGTTATTTCTAGTATTATATGTAAATGTTCAAATTCACCATAAGTACTTTAAATTGAAAGTTTTTCTTAAAAATATTTTTTTATACTGTGCCTGTGTTTATGTTAAAGACATCTTTGCCTTTTTATAACATCTTACAGTCTTCAACTGTTTATATTGGTATTTATTGACAAGTCAATTCTTTTTAAAGGATTTGTTTGACGACAATATGTTTCTTACTGTAGTAAATTTCTTTTAAAGTTTGTTAGCAATTAGATAGTCACTTCTCAATTCCATGCCCTGCCACGGAGTTCACTCACAAGAGCTATACAGATACTTAAGTCCATTCCTAGATTTATATCTTAGTAAATCATTCAAGATATAACAAGTTTTAATAGCTTTCCCTATTATTTCCTGGCTGCAAACAAGATGCTCACACAGCATGCTGACACCCAGAATCATACTGACCATCTGAGACTGAATACTACGGTAAATACTTTTTTTTTTTTTTTAATTCATTCTCCTTTATCTCTAGGACTCTAAATATTCCCAAAAGCTATTTTGACGCCTTCATATTGTACTTCCCATTTATACAAATCCTCTTTAGATTTTCACAACATAGAGTTGAAGTATTTAAGTATTTATACAATGAGACACTATACATACATCAAACTATAAACACAGGGAATTATATAATCTTGTTATAATAAACATTTCATTAATATTAGTAACTTGTCCTATGTATTTTGAGTTATTTCTAATTTTTTTGTTTATGTTCACAAGTGTTCTACACATTGTTTCTATAACAGAAGTTCTCATTTTAACAGATACTTCCTCAGTCAGATTTTCCAAATGCCAGCATTGCCATTTACTCCAGAGACACTGGGACATCCTCTGAAGTCTTTACCGTACATGCTCCTATCTCTATACAATCTACACATGGTTTGTCAAAAGCAAGTAAATAAAATTACAGTAACTATGCAAACAACTATTTTATGTAATTTGATAGTGCTTTTGGGCAGACATTTTGGGGAGAAATTCCAATGAATTAATCTGATCTTGTATTATGTAGGATTACAGTGTGGAACAGCAGCATCAGCATTACCAGCAGCTGGTACAGTAGAAGCACACTGTCTAAATCCTTCTAATTTACTGCCAGAACTAACACTAGGAGAAAAGATGTCTCAAATACTAAAGGATCAGACAGATCAACTGATAAAGAAAGTAAAGAGCTCTGTTTCAATATATACTTTGCACTAATGCTCAAATGCTATATTCATTTGGCATATTCATTTTAAAATCCCAAGTAAAAGTCTAATATTCTGTCTTGAAGGTGGAAGACTTCTCTAAGCACATGACCCAAGAGACACTCCTTTTACAAGACAACTACCTGGTAAATTAATTTATGTATTTTCAGTTACCTGAAATGCACTTTAAATGGCTGTAGAGTCCAAATTTTCTGGAAAGATACTCCATGTTTTCCTCAGACATTTAAAAATACTCTTTTTGTCCATCTCGGTCTGAAATTATGAGTTTAAGAGGCAAAAATGACGGTGTTCAGTAGGTGGCCAAATTCTGAAATCTGTTTTAAGGATTACAACTCAAAACTATTAGTGAAAGGCCTTAAGTTGCCATATAATTTATCAATTTTGACATGTAGGGTGTCAGTTCAGAAGTCATGGTTTAATGTTTTACTTGTACGTGATAAAGCAGCACAGTACTAGGTGGACATACAAGATGCAGTCCTGTTCCAACTCAGAGCAGTATGAAAATTCTTGCCAACATCACTGCAAATAGCATCTGACTTACATAGCTTAAGTAGCTATCACTATGGCTTGCGAAATTATAATGACATTTGCTATTGAATTATTTCTTATTGATGAAGGCATTAAATCAATTGAAAAGATACCTCGGTGCCTTGGAAAGGAATTACTTAACAGCTAGAGAAGAGCACCGTAATTTACAGCTGCAGAATTACAAGGACAACGTTGGAGAGTTTGATCCTGAAAGGTTAGAAGATAAGTGCTATTCCGTATTTTGAGTGTCTTACAACTATTACTTCATTTATACATAAGAATTTTTCTGAAGTGAAAACATTATCTTCATGTTACATGTGGTAAGCTAGAAGCGATTTGGCTGAAATTTGGGCTTTACACATCCTAGTTATAATTAGAATATCTCATTGATTAATTCAAGTACTTAAAAGGTACTCAGTGAATTCCATAAATTCCCCCCCCCATGGGAAGTATACTGCAATGCCCAATATGGTTATGATAGTAAGAAATACAGTATCATTTTATACAGGTTTCACTAACTGTGTTTTGCAATTGGGTTTAGAAAGGTGGAAGGGGAAATATTTAGACTTGGCATGCTGCTTGAAGACATCCAAGAACAAACTGATGACAGCAAATGCAACTTGTCATCTTTGCTTACTTCCTGTGAATCTGCCTGTTCATCATATTCTCTTTGTGAGGTCAGTAAGTTTTATTATTTAAAGGCTACAATTATTCTGTTTTACTGATGCAAGTCTCAAGAACATCAATGTGGTTGTACTATTGTATGTTGTCCTCTAGCAAGAGTACGATGTTTTTCGATAGCATGATACGTCAAAGAAAATGTTTTTTAATGAAATACTAACTTCATAATATTTCATTAATTATAAAAACACAGCTACACTTAATATTCTTAATCCCAGCTTCAAAAAATTTAATTCAGAGTAAGAAAATACGAGCAGCTACTTCAATTTTTACAAAGCTCTCTTTGTTTTGGGGAATTAATCACTACCCTTTAGTTGGAAGAAATATTACTTCTTTTCTCCAGATTCTTAAACTGCAGAATTACTAGAAGACCAAACATTATTGTGCTATAGAAAATTGTTTACTGTTAAGTATGGTAATATTTTGTCCTGAATCATAAGTGCACACAAAAAAAAAATCTTATGGCCTTGTACAAATCTACAGGTAAGTATCACCAAATGCTTTCATAGTCAATATTTTAAAAAACATTTTTCTCTGAATCCCAAGTTAGAGACACTCAGAAAATGCTGGCTGGTAGAAGTCACATACTTGCAATGCAGTGACCACATACTACATGTATTATCTATGCTATGGTTACTTTGTACAGAGCTCAGCAGTTTCAAGCATTGCTGAACCTCCAGAAAGAAGAGGTATTGAAACTGCCTTTCTTCACAAGAACAATGAGGGAGAAAAAAGTCAGGCAACTGATGCAATCCCACAGACAAATCAATTTTCTTTAGAAGGTGACAAGTGCAATCTTTGTCTTCACATGTAAGTGAAAACTTTGAAACAGTTATTGAAGTTTTTACTAAAATTTACCTAAAATTATTTGCTGAATATAGAAAACGTGAGATGTCTGGAATCTCTGAAAGAAAAGGGAATATTTCCAGAATAAAACTTTTACAGAATTCTGTAACTACATATCCAAGAATTCCTTCCAGCCTGGCATTCCTACCTTTCTGGGCCTTACAGACCTCAAAGTATTTCCTGAAGCCAAAACACTACTATTAGTTTCACTAGGAGTTAAATCATACCTCTCTATAAAATTCAATGCAACCACGCAAATTTAGGATGTGAATGACTAGTCAAAGTACAGTGCCTGTATAAAATTATTTGCCAAAATGTGTAGTATTTTTAATTAAAGAAGGGAGGAATGCAGATATTTACATCATTAGCCACCAAAACTTTGTGAAACAATTCCAGATATCATCTGTGTCCTCCTGGGGGGTGTTAATCATCTCAACGAGATTAGAAAAATAAAATAAATGGTTTCCCCTTAACGTATTAAGGTTACAAAAGAGAGCTGAATCAACTTTCAGAAGAGAAACAGAGCCCCTGGGAGAAGATCTGCTAGCAAACAAGCATTCTTCCAACATAATGGTATGACATCTGATTCCATATTCAATTTTTTTTTTAAACTTAGATTCTTATTCATCTTTGAGGTCACACAACATTTTTCCTCTTCAGTTTTTGCACAGCATGATGGCTCAGCATATCATAACATTGCTGAATTGGTTTCCAAAAGGAAGAATTTAAGGACTCTCAAACATTTTTGAAATCTGTGATAAAGTCTGCTTCTCTCAGACAAGACTTAACTGTGTTTACTAGCCTGCCTTAATTATTTGTTCAGAGAGCAAAAACCTACAAGCAGTTGCTTGGCTACAAAAATATTTCATTTTAAGGCATTGAAATTGATATATACTAATCCTTCTCAAAACAACGTGAAAACCTGTCTTGAATTCCAACTTCACAGATTAAAAAGTTCTCATATTTTGTCCAGTCTGCTCCACAGTTAGAATTGTAACTAGATAAACCAAATTGTAGAGTTGCTGGCAACTAAAAGCAATATAGAAGTGATATGCAAATGATGCCACTGTTTACACTATGCTGTTTGATATGCAATAGTTACAGATACATAGTAATATAAACAATCATATATAAATTTGTTTTGCCTTCTGGGTACAACAGAGATTCCTTTCACCTGAGGAAGAATATGCTGCTGAAAGTCTTGCATCCCATAGTCAGGGTACATTAAGTCAAAAATTTAATGCTGATGAAGAAAGTATGAAAGGGTAAGCGTATTACATTTTGGCTAGTCATAGATGTGGTTTTCTACAGCTAAGTGAACAGATAAATGCATGTACACTGATACGTCTCTATACTGAACTCTGCATGAAACACTGAATAATGTCTTTAATACATATAAATGCAAGGATGATCTGTTTTCAAGTTTATCACCTGTAAATCACATAAAGTATGTGATATACCAGATGACTGGAGAAATGGCAAAACTCTCATCAATTTTATTAAAGAGAGGATTATATTCATATTACAAAGTAGTCCATCTCAGTGGACCGATATAAGGTTTATGGTACTTAAATGGCATAGAGTTATTTTAATAGTATATTGAGAAGAGGCTTTGTCTTTGTTCTCTATTTAGTGATGCATGTCAGCATCCCAAACTGGGATGACTGCAAAGTGTTCAGCAATGAAAAATATTTAAAACTGTCATTGTCATGAACTAATCTGGTAGGCCTGGAAGGAGAGCATATTTATACATCTGCATATATTTCAAGTGCAAGGGTCAATCTGTCAGGTTTCATTTACAGAAATGTCAGCATGATAAAATAATTCTACATGGGTGATTTTGGAGTTTGACATTTTGGCAAATTAAATCCCTATCCAAAGCTAGATCTTCTAATACGTGCAGTGTAGAACACAGTAATGTTCATCTAAATATGCTCTCAGATTATTTTACAGAGCAGGTGTTAATATTTATCTAGTAAGACTCACCTAGCTTCCTTTTTTTTTAATCTGTCATTTAAAGGAAGTTAGCTCAATCTTCTGATCGTTATTTTCATGAATGGGTGGAAAATTTTCCAAATAAATTTGCTGATCCTGTATGCACCAAGTTGAAAATACATGTCAAATAACACAAACAAGGAACTTGGTTCTTGTTCCACCAGAAGGTACATCTCAAATATTCCTCTGATTATCTAAAGGTAGTAATTAAAGCCTTAATAGCTCAAAATTACTAAGCTACTAAGAAACCATATCATCCTTACCATTGATGGTATTTTGATGCAACATATGTGAACACACATAAATACATAGGATTTCATACTACTTTGCTATTCAAAGTTGTGATTATCAAGACCTCTACTTTTAAGCATTTTTATCAGCTCTGGTAAGTCTAAGTTATTTTGTCAGAATGTGTCCTTTAACTAAAGGGGGTCATTATTTTGCAATTGGTTAATTTTTCAATTTAAGCTTCTATTTACCATCTTTTCAGATAATTGATACAGAATTCTTTCTATGAGTAAATACGATTTCTCCTCAACTAAGAGGTGGTCAAACATTAATGTAATATGCTCATAAGGCTTGTCATAAAGGTATTAAGGTACATTTAAAATATCATTCTGTTTTCATACTCAGAAATACAAACATGCAGGAAAGGAAAACTGGAACATGTTCACTCTTCATTCAAAGAAAACCAACGGATTTATCAGATACCAACCCTAGTAAGTAGTGATTACATACAAAAGTCAGAATTGTGCTTATACCTACTACTGAATCCTTTTAAGAAACACATTCCTGTCACGTCTCAGCAGCATGAAAATTGTTTTGTAGTTTTAACAGATGTTACTGCTTAGCACAGCACAAGACACTAAGAATAAAGAGAAGACTAAAGAGGACACCAAATCAAATTCACTGTGGAAGTCTCAGTGACAGACCAAGAGGCAACAGTCAAGCTGCAACAGAATTTCCAGTTAGATATGAGCAAAAGAGTTTTAACTCAGGGTCAAGTCAAACATTGAAACCATTTGCCCTAGAGAGGCTGTGGCATCTCCATCTTCAGAGACAGTCAGAACTGAACTGGACAGGGACCTAAGCAACTTCATCTAAGTTGGTCCTGCTTTGAAAGGGGATTGGGCCAGATGATCTCCAGAAGTCCTATCCAACGTGAATTACTCTATAATTCTAATTCACATTTTTAGATAAGTTTCCAAATATTACTAACATTTTCAAGAGTCTAACAGTGGTGTGCATGCAATGCTTTGATTTTGCTTTTTCTCCTTATGTGCATTTATTTCACGTCCTAGAAAGATATTCCAAACTTGGTGACTGAAACATTTCGTATCAGTACTTCCACTTTTAGGTTTTTGATTCAACTTTCTGCATGAAAACAAAGGAAAAAAGTTTTCCTAAATCTTTGATCCGTTCAGAGTTGACACAGACTGGAAATATTCCCCTTCCTTAGTCCAGCTCCTAATAATATAATTTCACCAAATCCAAAGTAGAGCCCACACAGGCTACTGTGAACTAGTTAAGTCAGCTGTCAAGTCATCCAAGACTCCAGCTCTTGGAGGTTCACTAAGAATCTGTCAGCATTTGTTTCTCTTGGGGCATCCCAATTTTATCTTTGCACTGCAGAATACTCTGAAGTTGTTAGTACCCAACAACCAAAAAAGAATAGCCTGAGCTGTCCTAGATTCAGTTTTAAGTCTGAATGTATGTAGGTTATTCTTACTTTTGGTCTTCCTTTTGTTTTTGGCTTCTCTGTGACAGCCCTTACTTTAATATATCTGGGCCATTATGATTGATGCTGGTTTGTGCAATAGCTAAAGCAGTGCCATACTAGATCCTCCCAAACTCTCCTGACACATTCCTCTGTGTCTGCATTGTTTTAATAACACTTCAACTTGTAGAAATTTTAACCTTCAAAACAAGAACCTAAAGACAGGAGATGGAGAGCTTAATTTTTTTAAAACACAGTTCTGGAACTGGAAACAACCACCACCACCAAAAAAAAAAAAAAAAAATCTACATTTGAGGTTTATAGTCAGGGCTGAAAGCCAATCTTTAAAGTTCAATCCCCACCAGTAAACAGGAGGAAAAAGTACTTCTTCAAATTGCAGTAGTGTTAATGGTAGTGAAGGGCTCAGAAATGATGGTGCTGAAAGCCAAATAATTGCCCAGGCACACAGGCCAGAATTTCTAATATTTCAGACCTTTTTCATGTATTTTTGGGATTTTAGGCAGCGATTCAGAAGACATCTCAGCTTGTGATTCTTATAATGATTCACAAAGGAAGGAACTTGTCAACTGTGAGACTGAAAGTTACAAAACATTCAATACAAGACTATGTGGAGAAAAAAAAGGTATTATTATTGCAAAAATATTAAAACCTACACAAAAATATTGTTTATAGCATTTGTTTTTCTAAACAACATGTCTTTGTTTTCAGGACTTAGATGCAGATGCCCTAGAAGAAGCAGAGATCAATTTAAACTTGGGAATTACAAAGAGTCTGTTCAGTCTTGTGCCCTATATAGAAATAAAAGTCCTGGTTCATCCTGTGAGTATGATGTGTTACTGGAATAATTACCAATCACAGGCTAGATTTTAGGGGGCAGAAAGCCACACTGCACATATCAGGCCAAATTTAATTTAGTATAAGCAATCAGTAGCACTGTGGCTAAACAGTAGATGTGTATAGATCTCATAAAGCAAGATCAGCAAATCCAACTTTTACACACCTGGCCAAGTTTAATACCTTTTAACCTTCTCTGGTTCTTCATGAGAGGGGCCCGTTTCATATTTCATTTATGACAGGACTATCTCATTTTGCAGTACCACATGGAAGAATATTAAAATTGGGCATTACTGTGCCAACTTTTTTAGTGCTAGCTGTTACCCAATGTAAACAACTAATAAAGAAAATTGCAGCTCTACACTCAAATTGTGTGACATGCAATGAAGTCAAGGAAGGCCTAATATAGAAAAAAATAATAAAATGTTGAACATCTAGCTCTTAAAATCACTTCTCAGACTCTTCTCTCTATACTGTAAGAAATTGCATGCAGAAAAAAATTTTCAACAGTGGGAAGAAAGTATAAATCAGCTACTTCTCTATATAAATACTGTAAAACTATAAATTGAACTAGTATTCATTTAATTAGGATTATGAGAATCTGTTTATTCTATACTTTCCCCCTGCAGTCTTTCACTGTATGAAATGGAATATAGATCTGCAATACCATTTGCTACAGAACAAAATTCAACAGCAAACCCAAAAAGGTTAATCCGTCCTCATTTACAGAAAATCTTAAACATACTCAAGTTTTATTCAGCAGTGATAGTTACCCGATTTTTTTTATTTATGCTAAATAGAGAAAAATGTTAAATACATAGAAAATTTTTTTTTTTGCTTTTGATTTAATCATGGCCTCAACAACTCCAGCTTATCCACAGAAGACAATCTCCACTCAAAAGGCTCAAAAAAATAAACAACCATGTGAACTTGTAAACAGACTTTCTGCAAGGTAAGCTGTAGCAGTAACTGTATGTAGTACAACAGAAAATGCCATTGTTGAAGATTCAGCATGGAAAAAAACGACCTCACCAGTATTGTAAGCAGGAGAAATGTTTTCTCTTCCGCAGTGCATGCTGTATATTAGAATTTTACTCACTAGTGAAATTAAAATATTTACCGTAAAAGCAAGTATAATTCTTAGAGTAGTTCTTCAATCTTTCTAATTTAATGAAGAGTAAACACCCAACTTCTTTAGCCAACACATTTAGTAGTAAAAAAAGTAAATTTCACTTTATTAAGAAGATGTTCCTACTCACAGATTCAAAAGCAGGTCTGTATTATTTAAGATGCAATTGTTTGCTACCAATTATTTGTAAGTAACAGTCCTACTTTTAACTGTTGTTAACATTAAATTACACTGGGAGTCTTGAGAAGTAAAATGGATTCTTATCTGTAGCACAGACTAGACCTCAAGACAAGTTTTGTTACCGTATTTTTTGACACATTACTCAATAGCAGTAATTGCCTGGAAGTACAGTAGCTGCACTTGAGAATTAATGGCATAGACCACTCCGTAAGAGACGGCTACAGCACCAAGGATGTGATGCTATTACGAGAGATTTCCTGACTGCATCCTGGAATATTTGTTTTCTGTCTTACTGCAATACAGATGTAACACAAATTATGCTGGACTGTGTTTTACAATTAAATGAAAAGTTCTACTCACTGTAAAATGAACTTGGAACTGAGTATGCTATCAAGATGTATGTATTTAATTCATAGTTTAGAAATTCTTTTGCTTACTAAAATTGTTTGTGTTTCATTGTATATATCTTATCTTCAGGCAAAACTTTGAGGCTGCCAAAACCTGCTATTCAAGCACATATGGTAAAATTATCCTTTCACATCAATACTTACCCAGCAAGAAGTCTGCAATCAACATCGGAAACAGAAATGCCAATGATTCCAATGCAAATGTAAGACTTGAGAGTGAAAATTAAAAGCCACACAACTATCTCAGGAAGAGCATCCCCACATCACGGCACTACTGAACATCCCATTCTTAGCAAGTTTATTACTACAATCTAAGCATGTCTAGTCCATTGAAGGATACAACAGAAGGGAGCTAAAAACCCAACTATTTTAGCTTATATATTAGTGTATTACTTCATACAAGTACGTTACAGATTTTTTATGCAACTTAGTCCCTGTATAAATGGTTAAAGGGACAGAAAAGGAGCACAGGATCTTACCTCTAGAATTATGTTTCATATACTAAAATAAAGAATGTCACCCTAGCCATACAAACCACTATCAAAACTAAAAGAAAAACCTTCTCAACACCACAAACATGCACCACACTGGGTCTTCTACTTTAGAAAGGTGTAAATATCCTTCAGTTCAGAGGATTACACAATCAAAGAGAGAAATAAGTAACAGATACTTCCAACTTGAATCCTGGAGCAGTCTATCACATGGCTCAATTTTTACTTCTCAACATGTATTCAGAGTTAAAATGCTACACAGAACCTTATTTAAACATCACTTTCTATTCTATACCTACACAAACATTTGCCTTCAGTATTAACAAGGCTATATTTTATTATTCCCAACAGATTTTAAGTTCTGCTCTGGATCATGCCATACAGACAGCAAACAGTTTGAAGAAAGCTACAGAACGAATGGTACAAGCGGTTTCAGAAGATCTAGCTAAAGTTAAAAAAAACCAGCTTTAGTAACCCAGTTTCAAATGCTATATTGTTTTGCTGGTTGATACTGAAGTGCCAGTATCTTTGCAAATATAAAATGATAAACACAAAGATCAGAGAGTCAGCTAGCTGACTTAGCCAGCTGTTCTATAACTATCAGTACTAAACCAAACCAGAGCATATTGGTATTCCACATGTTTACACTCAGTCTCCGAAATGGAAAACAAATTACTAATTCTACTGAAAGTCTTTAGTATGTTGGCTAACCCCGTTACTGTGTACAGCTACCTCCTCTAAGCATTCACTCAAGACAGCTTAATGAAAATTGGCTTAAACAAGCAAAGTTAACTTTTTGAATTCTGATTTCCCCCCACCTCCAAATAGGAGAATAAATCTTGGTCATTACCACATATTTTCTTCCCACACCTTAACAGCAGCTGCTTAAGCACACCAAAGGGAAAACAGCCTCTGCACCCAAGACATCTATAAGCATCATGCTAACATACCAAGTCAGAGTTGACACTTGTAATTATTTTGGTTTTAGAGTGTCCTACATTGAGAGTTGTTTGTTTTTAAGATACTTCCTTGCATGTCTCAGTAACTGAGTAATACCATTTGTTGTCTGTGTGCTCCTAACAATTAAATTGTCTGTTTCTTCAATGTAGTTTCCTTACCTTGTCACATGTATCTGGCTTTGAGATTTTAGCTGATATGTAGGTTGGAAAGTTTTAAAATACTGTAGAAATACAGTGGGCCAAGGAAAGTCATACATTATTTTCCTTCTGAAATCCATTGAACCTCAGCAATTGAAAGCAAGCAGACAGTTAACAGCCTTGTATTATCAGGGATGCTATTCACTGAAGCAATTTCAAAGTATATAGGGATTGATGGAAAAAAAGTTAGAAGTGACAGTGCATTGCTTAAAAAGGACAGTCATTTTCAGGGAAACCTGAGTGGTTTCATTAGTTAATGGATACAGAGATAACCCAGACTCTGTTCATGCAAGCAGTGGTAGCTAACCTTGCTGCTGTGTACCACTGATTTACTAGCCTGAGTAAATGGCTTTTTTTTCAGGGCTTCTTCCACACTTCACAGCCAACAAATACCATTAACCTTTCTTTTCTCCTTTAGGCTTTTATGTGTATCCTTATAACTCGATTTGTCTCTGCTTATTATCCACATTTTTGCTTTATTTAGCTTAAGGTGACAGTACAGGATAGTGAAAGGCTCACTCCCCTGTGCTAGATTAATATTTGGAATGTCCCTATTACTGCTTTGCTAATGAACTTAATAGTTGAAGTAATTGCTGCAAGGCTTCCTAGATCCAATAAGAAAAAGATGAACCTCTTCCAGAAATCTTTCCACACCACAAGAACAGCTAGACCTTTTGTTTATCCTGGGTCACTGTCTGAACCTGCTGGCCTGGGCTTGACAGCAAATGCCTAAGAACAAACCTATTTAGTAAGACAAGCACATAGCGATATTTCCTCAGAACGTTTTTTGGCAAACTGAAAGCTCAGAGTCCTTCCAAATCAGTAGTAGTATCTTTGTATTTAATAGCCATATAAAGATTTTTCTCTTATGTATGTCAAGGTTTTTTGCCCTCATGTAACAATTTAAAGTGTGTTGTTATTGTGTGATGTCTCAGATGCTAAAGGTCCTTTTGTTTTTAATTTGACAACTGCAAGTTTCATGTGTTACTTCACACGCTGTATAGGAAGGTAACACGTCTGTCTCTTCAGTCTGCACACTAACATGTTTTTTTCAAGGCTTCCATCACAAACTCCTCCATTGCCTTTTTTCCCCTTGATCAAGGATCCTATTCTAGCCGTTCTTGACATGGAAATCATTCCATACCTTTGATTTGCCTTAGTCATTTCTGACTGTTGTCCAGATTTCCAGATTCAAATTAAGAAATAAATCGCACATGGAAATATGCATCTTTATTATCTAGGGTAATCAGAGCAACATCTGTGCCTGTGCAAATCTGGGCCCACATGTACAGGCTAGGTATCTATTTTAAAATGTATAATATGAAAACAGGAACTTTCAAAATTATTATATACCTTGTACATGTGCTAAAATATTAGGTTTGGGGGGGAGATGTTTATCTTGATACAACTCTTTCCCATTCTTGATCTTGTTAAAACAATTCTTGATCTAGCCAAGATGATCATTGGGAAAAAAATAAACATCTTCACAAGAATTACTCCCCGCCCCCTCCCTTCACAAGCTCCTGTAAGAAACCAGGAGCTGTTTTGGCTTACATACTGCTGTCAGATTGATCTTAAAGCATCTCTGTTAATCCACCTTTACAGTAATGTTTGGCTTTGCCTTCTGGGAAAAGCAGGTGATGGATTCCAAATCTCAGAACTCATGGTCTTGTACTCATCAGCTATCAAATTTTGAGCTGGTGATAGCACTTCAGCCTAAAGCAGACACTTGGAAAAAGTCTTAACTGCTGAATATGCAGAAGTAATCCCAACATTTCAAGCTCACATTTCTTCAACTCTATGCAACAAATAAACATCAATACAATGGATTTTATATATTACTGAAATCAATTATTTCAGTCCTTAAGCAGGACGCTTTGATATTGGTTATTTTGTTCTGTATGTATTGCTTTTAAGCTTTGGGAATAGGAAAAAAATGCAACTAGACATAGCTTCTACACCGAACTTGCCAAAGTATAAGGACTACATATAATTTAAGCATAATTGTTTAATACTGATTTCGAAGTGTGCATCTTTAGTAAGAAAAAGTTGAACACTGCATTTCTTAAATACATACTTCTACTCTGGATTTTTACAGTGGTAATTCTAGTTCGAAACTAGAATTCAGAAAAACATTATAGATATTTCTGCTAAAAATTTTTTAAGTTTTGACGCACATTTGATGAACCAGTTAATTTAAAAAGGTGTTATTCCTGTATTCCTATTGAAAATAAAGTCAGCATACATTAGATGCTTAACTCACGTACACGCATTTGAATGCTACAGCCACTTATCCTCATCGTGTCCCATGTCCTGCAACGTTTTGAAATCATTACATGATGTTCTCCTGTTTCAACCTCTCTGAGGTAGGGGGTGAATTTGACCTTTTTCCACCTTCTAATTAACTTCGAATGAACTTACCCAACAAAAATATTCTCTTAACCTACTAGTTAACCTGAGGGCAAAATTAAGGGAGAAGAAACAAAACCACCTTTCTGCAAAACAAAAAAAATTAATACCCTTACAGTTGGGAAAAATGTAAATAAAAAACCCAAGTAATCTATTCTTTTTCATTATGACATTTCTCTCATTCTACATACAACAAACTAACATTTCAAGGCACATCAATACAACATCCCTTTAAAAGGTTAGTAATTTTAATTACTTAGAAATTTTACTTCAATAATTTTCTAAGACAAATCTAAATGTCACCAGTATTAGAGAATTAATACAATTTAGAATTTATTTGATCCCTTCAACACAAATTTGTGTATTTCTTTCTTAGTATGTAACAAAGTAGAAAACAGTAAATTCTCCTGAATGCATCAAGTTTTGGCGTTTGGTTTACTTTTTGCTTTTCTTTTCTAAATTACCAAGTAATCTGAAAGATTCAACTGCTTCCCTTCTTTCCCCCTCCTTTTCCCCTGCCCCCGCTCCCTCAAAAAGAGAATTTACACTTAGAATTTTGGAACTTCTATATCACAGGCAATTCAACTTCTAAAACAGACAAGCTATGTAGACACAATCATAAGAAAGTTTGTAAGAAGTCAAAGTTTTTTTAAAAAGCTGTAGAATAATCCCTGTATATACTTAAATATAAAGTGTACTTCAGTGCACAGTTGCAGCATTTCTCCAAAGTTATTTATTGAAATTAGAACTGCTTAGTACTTCTGTGATTAACTTTTTACCTTATCCACCACCATCTAAAAACACCTTTTGGTTTTTCACAGTTACATATATTTAAAGAATTTTCAGAGAGTTATTTTACAGAAAATATTACAGTTTAAGATACCGCACTTGTGAAATATTTTTACCATAAACTCATATTTACAGGTATTTTACTCTACCTAAGAACCTAGGCCCTTTTTAATTTAATCATTTTTAGAAATAAACTCTATTATAGAAAGATTTCACAGTTCTCAAAGATAATTCCAGTTTATATGTAATCATGATAACTTTTAGCATAATTTGTTAGGAACGACCATGCCCTTTTGAAAAAGCACTTACAGTGTAACACTGTCTATACTAAATACAACTTAAGAAACACATGTGTTGATTTTTTCCTCTCTCTGCCTTCTACTCCCCCAAAAAAGCAGCAAGTTTAAATTACACTCCATTAGTCAGAACCATATAGTGTCCTGGTACAGTATTTAGAAAAGTCAATTCCATAAGGATATGTACATACTATTTGTCTTTTCCTAATGCATCATGAACACCACCATTTCTATTCATCCTTAATGCACACCATATCCTTCGGTTTACTAAGGCTCTTCACTTCATCCAGTAGTCTTTTAGGTGTCAAAATATGAGTAGAACCTGAAAAAAAAACATAAGTATTAACTATATCAGTCTGAAATTATGACTTTTAGACATTCACTCTTTAAATAAATTTAAAAAAAAAAATCAGTTTCATGCCAGTGTTTTTTACTGTACCTGGAAAACTGAAAAGTAGAACAGTTCAAAGTGTTTTCATGTGTTATCATATAAAGCATCATCATATAAATATAAATGTCATCATTAGGTAGGCACCATCCCTCTTCCACACACCAAGAAATTCAGACATCCAGATTAGGACTCTTTTCTTTGGATATAAGTTTCAAGTCCCTGCTCTGCCTGGTTTGAAACATAGGCTTGAACCTGGGCCACTTTCACTGTATGCAGTTGTCCCAGCCTGCAAGAAATCTGCCCATTCTGTGAAAGGGCAAGTTAATGACAGGCTTTATCCTAGAATCAAGAAACCATCTGGATTAAAGATTATTGCAAACAGTAGTTTTCGACAGAAATATCAGTTACAGAAAATTGGCTTTTACTGACTAACATTTCCTGGAAAAATTTGCAACAAATTCCAAGTCTGGACCAGCAAAGAAAATCCTTATTCTTCTTCAGGAATGCACAAACTACCTCTCTTGTTCTCACAGACAGCGATTATAACTTCTGCTGTGAAGGGTCACCCTACAGTTATAAAGGGAACTCTCAACTGTTTAAGATTAGGGCTGTCTTGAACAGTTTAGTCTTTAGTTTTAGTAGTGTCAATCCAAATGGGCTAATATTCCTTGAGTTCTGGATCAGGAATACAGGAAGATTTTCATCTTACAGTAAGCCACGTGGAAATTTGGCAGTTATCAGCCTCCCTTGGAAAATAGGATTACAAACAAAACTACAAGAATCATCTCTAAACAAAAGGGAAGATGGTTAGTGCCAGGTATTACAGCAAGTGACCTACACTAAACATGGTTTTGTAAACAAGTCTCAGATGAAGAAATAGTCTTGTTAAACTACATTCCTGTTGTCCTAGTCTTTCCATTGCAACTCAAAACTAGGACTAGCATTAAACCTACCTCAACCACCACCAATGAAACCAGCAAACAAAAAATAAATCAAAAAACCTGAACCATACATGCACACAACTACAACACCCCCCACTATTTTGAGGTAACAGACTCTAGATCTCAGAATCAAGGTTGTCATTGCTTTAGAGAAGAGTATTTATTTATTTAAAATTATGGTAGATAGATATAATCCTTTTCAAAACTCAAGACTAAATTTAATTGCCAAACAGAGGCATCTCAAGCAATTTAGAATGCTTTAGATGACCCTGCACCCAGACACCACCTGCCACTGCAGATGGATACAGGTCTCTGGTAAGGTTCTAAATCTTAGGAGCTCTGTTTTGATATATCATATATGAAAATGTTTTAGCACCTACATTTAAACAGCATTATAGGAAATGATTATTTGAAGCACAGCAGCTGATGGAACAAGCATTTGCTGCCTCTGAAGTATTAACTAAGAGATTACTACCCCAGCTGGTAATTCATGCATTTACTGCTGATTCTTAAGAAGATTAGGGCAATTACTTCAGTTTTCAGGGCAAAAGCTATAAATCATGGTGTGGTTTGTGTAAAGTCTCTGAAGAAACCATGACAAGGACTAGAAAATGTTGCAAAGTCAACTGAGCTACAGTGAAAAAGTTTTTTTAGGTTGGTTTGGTTTTGGGGGGTGGGGTGGGTGGGTGTTTAAAACAAAAACAAACAAACAAAAAAAACCAAAACAAAACACACCAGACACCCACACCACAGTTATCTTCCCTTTCTCCCGAAGTGAGTAATTTTGCACTAGTCTGCCAGCTTTTCTACTACTTCCAAATGCAATGAGAGTAGTAAGCGTACCTGAAGGCAAAGCACAGCCAGATACAAAAGTTTGTGAGGAAACCGTAATGCAAGGCAACATAGGTCTGCTTAAAACCTTTTTGCTATACATGAGGCTATTTCAATAATACATTTCTCTGACATGATTCATGATGATTCTTCTGTAGAGCATAACTGTATGTATTGTTCCTAGTATCTTGTTGCAAAAGAAAATCCAAACATCAAGCAATCTAGATAAATTGAAAAGATACTTCCTAAGTGCATAGCTTTAAGAAATATGCTTATACACTTATATAATATATAGCTTACTTAACCAACTTAGGGAACGTAAGAAAAAAAGATTCTTACATTTTCCAGAAACACATGTAGTAAACCCCTACATACCACTCTTTTCCCAAGACAAGCTTACCAATAACAACTTCACAGGACTTGTAGACTTGAGAAACTTCATAAGCACTGCGCATCTCAGAATATGTAATTCCTCCAATCACAAATATAATTAGTCTTGCACTACTCTTTCGCTCATCTTGATAACTAGCTTTAGGTTTCTGGCGAGCACTGTAAAAGATTTCGTAAGATGACATTTATATAGCTTTATTGATTAATTTTGGTAAAAGTTATACACTTAAGCAGTAACAATTTCTGTCACGCAGTTCTTGGTTTGATTACAACTGCAGCAAAAGAACTTAGATGAATTGATAATTAAAAGAATTTTAACAAGAACAAGTTAGCACATTACTCGGAAACTATTCAGTTACCACAAGGGGGAAAAATACAAAGCAGAAACCTTGCTGCACACAGCTTACACACAAAGGACTTCTACTGAGCAGCTTAATTCTGCATGCTAGCAATTCCAGTGGCGTTTTTCATGAGGGGTTCATTTGAAAAAGCTAGAGTCTTAGGTTTTTCAGTCTCCAAGTGTGAAAAGAATCTCTAAAAGAAAAATATTCGGCTGTTCGCAAGTAAGATTCAGATAGCTAGGAATATAAAAATAAAGCTCTTATGCTTTATTTTCATTATGCTTTCTAACATATATATAGTAAATTGCACATTCAGATTAAATCATCTGCAGTCCTGATCTCTCTTTGCTAGGGTGCCTAAAAGATTCCCAGATTTCACCAGCCTACAAGACAGAGATCCAGTTACAATGTACAGTGACTTGCCCTAGTGTTTGTTTCCTTGCACTGACCATCATAGTGCATATCCAGGAACGTAAGGACACACCAACAGTTTTGTTAGCAGTGGAAGTAACAGAACTATTTTCCTAAGGCTGTGTACCTGTAACTTTTGTCTTTTATTTAGTAAGGTACAAATTCCAATTGAAGTGTGTTCTCCACATTTAGGATCTATATAATGTTTCCCTCCCTAGGAATTCCAGCATCTGATTAGCACAGTGAGCATTCCTGCGTTAGAAACACTCTTATCTCTATACAGCTGTCTCACCATTTAAATAACACTGCCACAAGTGATAAAGCAGTCAAATTGGCAGGTATTGGTCATGAGGTTCAAGGACTAGTGGGCTTAAAAAGAGAAAGAAGGCACAGTACAAGTTAGTGAGCTAAAAAAAAGAAATTCCAAAATCACCTCTCAGTGCTACTTAGTAAATATGCAAGTACACAAACACACCATTTCACATTCATTAGCAGAGAATTCATTTCAAGACCTCCAACTTCTCTAAATCATCCCGACAACAGGGGTCAAATGTCTAACAGGCCCATATTCCCTAATGAGGGGGCCTACATAAGTTGAGTTTACCTTACTGAAGTCATTAACTTTAAGAACACCACCACCACTACCACAGCAGAAATAACTTTCAGAAGAAATTCTTTTTGCCCAAGTCACAGTATACTGATAATCCATTCCTGAAACTACTTCACCCTAAAAAGCTCAGTAGTTTAAAATTTCTCATTCTGGGAGTATGGAAATGTTATTTCTAACTTCAAAGCAAAAGGGAGATACTCCAAATAAAAAGCTATATATGGCTAAGAAGAGTTATTAAACTAACAACCAATTTCAGTATGCTTTCGATGAAATAAAAATATAAGTTTTACACATTAACATTACCATACTTAGACGATTTCACCACTTGTAAACGCACTTTTAAAATGCTTTATAATGTACATAACAACACTGAGAATTGGGTAAATTATGCTTCAGGAAATTAAATTATTTACCTTACTGCTCCTGAACCATTCCAGGTAGGAGGACACTGGGAACAATAAGGCCAGTCTTTTGAATCTAGTTTGTTTTCTATGGCATCCTGAAGGGCAAAACAAAGACCCACTTTAAACAAACATGGAGACCCAAAACCCACCAAGTTTCAACTTCCAGTAAGATGTCTAACTGGAATTTAAATGCCAGCACATGCAAGTTCTTTGAACAACCAGTCCCAATCAGCATCTCATGAACAACACTCCTATGTAACAAAATGCTAGACCACGTAATGTTAAGAATTTTTACAAGGCTTCTGTATTTCACAAGCAATTGGGAGTACATATGCTTTCTTTATAAACATAATATTGATTTAACTGTTCAAATTTCACTAGCAGCTTTTCATCTGTAATGATCCTAACATAATTAATGTCTCTATAGCAGTATATGAGAGAAGTTAGGGCTCCCTGAAGACACAGAGGAACATGTGAAAGTCACCAAGAATCTACGAACAACAGTAATGGGTCAGACTAAAGGTCCAGTGAACTCACTATTCTGTCTGACATCAGTCACTAACTGATACTTAGGAAGAGGTTTAAGAACAAAGCAACTACACTTCTGGCAAGTAACATTTTCAAGCCTCTACCGATCTACAGGTTAGATTTGAATTACAGTTTAAAGACCCACTGGAGAAAAAAAAAAAAAAATCCAGATCTTTAAATTACACTAAATACTGCCAATCACAGGACAAGCTGTTCAAAAAGACTTTTTGCTTTCACTTTCATTTGCTTCACCTTTAAAATGACCTCCAGTAAAGAGCACTGCTAACACACAGCAGTCTAATGTTCTGTACTACAGACAAACTGGAAGTGATCACTTTGCTCAACAGACATATTTAACAAAATACTTTGGAATTTCAAAAGATTGGCTATAACTGCTCACTTGAATAAATTTCTGCACTCCACCCATGAATTAACTAGTTGGTCAAATTTACCTCCATAACATCTTTGATAATAGGCGTCCACCTAGAAAGTTGGTAAGTTTCTTCTGAAGAACGGTCCCTTCTTTGGTGTTTATGCTGCTGAGCAGCAGACTGAAAAAAATTTCAAAACATAGTTGTATTGTGCAGTGTATTTGGATTTTTGAAACTTATTACCAGTTAGTAGTGGGGGAGAGGGGATCAGTAGGAAATTTTAAAGAAATAATAATAACAACAAAGAACAATTAATACCTGTAGAATTCAGGATACACTAGAAATACTAATTTCAGAGACAAGGAACTAAGTTGGCATTTTCAAAAAAACCAACTAGCTCAAATCACCATCTGATGATTCTAGAGGGAACTTTATAGGTATCTTACTTTGAAAATTATTCATGTTAATTGTTTAAAGGATTTACCACTTAAACACATCATAAAAACAAGAATTCCTAGTAACTGCCTGCTTCCAAAAAAAAGAACCTGGATAATACTGCTAAGAGTTGCTGAAAGAGCTGTAGACAACTGCTTGGGTAGTAGAAAATTACAAAAATAAATACATTCTTACTGAAGAGATAACAGGAACGTCAAGGTATTTCCAATTTCTTATCATATCACTATCAGTTTCTATTTGTACATTCTGGATCAGCTTGTCCAAGTTCTCCTGGGTAGTTCCTTTGATATAAGGAAAACATACAACTTAATTACCATGTGACTGTGAGTAAGACCAATTTTGTCTCACACATTTCGGGCTGTTATTTAGTCATGGATTTTTTTTTTTATTTGGCCAGTCTACTTTAAGTTTAACATAATACTGTACTTTAGATAAAGTTTTGTTTAATGGTCCATTTTTGAGACCAAAACTCAATATTGTTATAGATTCCTCAGACCAACATTCTGCCAATTTCCTCCTCCTCTACTACAAATTCTTCCCCATTGACTTAATTTTCAGGTTGCAGTGGACATGAAGCTCCCCCTCTAACAGCTTCCATACTATGTGAAAAGAAGAAAATTTAAACTGTTGCACACACTCAAGCACAGGAATGATGCTAAAACACTGTATGGATCTGCACTTGTATTGAACCTCCTAACTCCTTATCAATAGTATCTTTGCTACTAATTTGAGAGAAGAGAAGCTACAGAGGATGGACAGTATTCGTTTTAAACTTGGCCATCAACTCCAATAGAGATATTTAAGTTAACTAAAAATACTGGACTATCCCAAAACTTGAGTTGAAGTCCATAGCACTGGTGGAAAAACAAAAAAATAGGGCAGCTTATCATACCATTTGTGCTAAAGATATACAGGAGAATAGCTCGAATTTTGTCGTAGCTCTCATGACTTTTGTTAAGCAGAACTGGAAGGAGGACTCTCATTGAATCTTTCACTTTTTGACCTTCTGCATCAGTTCCAAGAGCCAAGTCCTAAATTAAAAAAACAAAACATGGTTTTAGTGAGTACTCATAAAAAAAAACAACCAAAAAACCCACATTGTTTTGTGTGCTTTGAAATGCATTTTTTTTAAACCATAGGTTTCAGGAAACAATCAAGCTACATCAATTTAAACTCAGTATGACAAGTCTTTGACATAATTATTTCAATAGTTAGAACATTATAACAACACTACATAACATTCAAACATTTTAAAATGTTTGCTATCTGGAATTCCTATCAATTTAAGTTATAGTTTTTAACTTCAGATAAGTAGTACAATGTAATGCCTCACCCTAACAGGTGCTTTTCCCAGACATTTTAAAAGGGCTTCCTTCTGCAGAAGATAGTAAGGTAACTTCATAGGAGTTTTGAACAAAGAACAAACAAAGATGATCCTTACACAACTCAGCCAGATTCAAAGACAAAAAAACAAAACTCTAAAAGCACCTTCTTTATTGGCAGAGTAAGAGCCTTGTATATCTCACTTAGCTTTAATACTATTACCTCAAAAAGCGATTGGGGGGAAAAAAAAGGCAAGAGACACTACTTTTGTCAGTTAAAAACAAGCATCTAAACCTGTGAACAAAAAAGTTGCATTTGCAATAAGTTGTTGTTTGGTTTGTGGGGTTTTTAAACATACCTGTTCAGTTTTACAGAGCCTTTCTATGTTAGATTTGAACTTGCTCATGCAATCTTCTGCCAAGTTAAGATGAACAACTTGCTAGAAGAAAAAAAAAAGAAAAACACACAAGCTGCCATAACTTGCCTTTTTTTTTTTTTATATCAAGCAATCATTTTCACTGGTTACAAGAGTCAATCCTTCAACTATCCTTCAGTACCATCAGGCATTTTCTGTGTTTTACCCTTCACTGACAGACTGACCCCCATAAAACCTTTTAAAACATTAGACTGCTTATGCTATCTTCAATCCTCAAAGCACACAAATCATTTAAGTGGTTTTTTACATACTAAAATGAAACACCTGGAAAAAGTTTTCTTCTCCAAATTTTACAGTAGGTGAAAATATTAATTTGAAGAAAAGCTATATAGCACACTTAACAGGAAAATGACAGAATAAAACTAGACTTCAACAACACAGGAAGTTATAGCATACAAAAAGATGTATGAAGCTGTAGTTACAAAAGACCCCTTACCCTACTAATCTCTTTACGATAGTGCGGCATCTTTTTCATTAACTGGGCCAGAGCAGATATCGATAACTGTGAAGAAATGATACAAGTTGAAAATTTTTCCCCCAATATTTGGCATCTTTATTGCCCTTCCTGTTGCAGCCTTCCTGACCCCCCTTACCCCCCCCCCAAATTGCCATTGAGATAAGCCTCAATTTCTGTAACAGGTCCATGAATTACACAGATCTGATCAGCTGAAAATAATTAAATTACCAGAAAAAAAAACAACAATACCTTAAATTAAACAACTTACTTTTCCTTCTGTTGCTTTTCTTTTTGATGAAACTTCTTTCAAAAGTTTTGGTATTTCCCTAAGAAAAAAAAAATAAAGGAAAGTAATCAAATGCAACAGCACCACAGTTCTTAAATCTTTTCTTAAGATCTTTACTTAAGATCTTAAAAGAACTGTGCAACAAGAACTTCTGAATTAAAGTAAAAGCTTCAAATACAGGTCTCCTTCAGAGAAGAGAGTGGTTTTTGACAAAGCAAACAAACATTCTGGTTACAATATCTGCATAATGATGCAACAACTTGCTAGTACTTTATGCAAAACAATCCCTTGAGATTTAAAAGATTTAAAGATACTTCCCAGGAAATAATTTTATTTCCATTTTCCTCAAGAACTGTAATTAACATTAGTAAAATGGCATACCTCTGTATGTACTGTATTTTTGAAAGTATGTTTTCTTCCTGGCATTGATTATTTAACAGGATGCAGTCTATATTGCAAACCATCTTCACTACTGCCTGTATTCCTGCTTAACAGCTCAAATACATTCCCTCTCAAAGAAACTTTTATAACTTAAATATGTAAGTAGTTTTTGTTATTTATTCACATACTCTATCACATCTGCAATATGCTTGTGCCGAATCTTCACCCAGAGCTCATCATCTTCCTCCAGAATTGCCTCCCGTTCCTTCCCAGCAGGTCCTTCTGTTTTGTATCTTCCAAGAGAAAATTCAGACAGTTGTTTGGTTTGTTTCCTACCCTCCCCCACCACCCCAATTCTCATAACTCATTAGACTCTTGTTATTGTTTAATCAACATACATGGCAACAGCAATAATGTACACAGGTTTTAACTTACAAGCCAAGCTATTGCCCAACACAATATAATTTACATAAGGATTTTACAGTTTACATCATTGAACATAGAACCAGCAGATTAATTTTAGAATGATTCTTTGGGGCAATAGCTTCTAGACATTTTTTTAAAACAACAGTAACTAGAGTTTCAATCATACATGCACCTCAATTTCTTTTCAGCTTCCAATGTCAACTTCCCTTTGGCTTCAAATGCAAACTGTGTGCAAAGCAACACACACTGAGACTGCGAAGTGCAGCTTTCTGTATGTACTGTAAGACACTTCGTAACTCTGAAGAAAAATGAAGTGCCATTCACCAGCTAAATAGACTAAGTCGGACAAATTACTTCACCTATACAAGAAACATGCTTCACAGGATTACAGACAAGCTATTACTTTTCTACAAACAAAAATAAATGCATAAAGACAGCAATCATACTATACAAGTTTCACATTTACAAAAACTCACACAGTGTATATGGCCAGAAAGCAGTATAAAACAATTACAAGATTAATTGTGAAAGTCGGATCACAACTACCTAGAAAACACACACTGCTACATTTTCATACCCAGTAAATTTCAGATTCATAGAATTCTATATTTTCTATGAAAACACTCACTCAGTGTTTCTGACAGACGATACACATTCCTGTTTGCTTAACTAAACAATGAGGCCATTAGGTCTCACTGTAGCGGACCCTCAGTAAGCAAAGTCTTACCAAAATCTTTGGCGTCAGAACAATCTGACAGCAAAGTACATACCTTATGCAAATGTCACACTATTCCAAATACTGATAAAATAATGCTTATAAACTGAACATGGCTTACCTAAATGTGCATTTAGGATAGAAACATGTAAATTTTATCAACCATGCAAATTAAATAACTAGAGCTATAGAAGTGAGCATTCCTGAGAAATAACTACGCTTTTTCTCAGTATTTGATTACTGGTCTTGTTTGCCTTGTTAGCCAAGAAGGTTGAAAGTATGAAAGAAAAGGTAGAGAATCTGAACATGCACTACCAAGGGTTTTGCTTCATGTCTAGTACAAAGTTTTTCGTTTTTAAAAAAGTGCCATTTGTTAGACTCAAAACTTAGCAAAAATGCCGATTAGATCCTACCTAATCTCCACCAAGTGAGGAAGCTAACAAAAAGAGGAAGTTACAAATCCAAAAGGAAAGACTAATAAGTGAAGCAAACCTTACGTAATATAAGCAGCTAACATTGCCATGGGGCAATTCAGCTAAACAGTTCCATAGATTTTGTAATGAAAAATAAAGTGTTTAGATTTTTTTTTTTTTAAAAGTACTTGCTTGTAAGTATCATTTTCAATTGGTAGCAGATCATATGCCATTGCCTGGAAGGTGAGTTCATGAAGTACAGTTGACACTGGGTCAAAGCCACGATCAATTATTATTAGTTGGGAGTGGGTTTTAGCCTAGAAAGCCATCAAATAAAGGTAAAGTTAAGACATACAGTACAACGTTAATGCATGTTAAATCTATTTACAGTAAGTTACAGTACTGCAGACGTTTTTGGAGAAATAACTGAAAAAACTAAAAAGTATGGTCCAAGTGTTTATGAACATATATAGAAACAAACATTTAAACGATAACCAAAACACAGTGGTTTTAAATACTAATTTTAAGGCAATGCTCTTAGCCCATTGCAATGCATTCAGTAACCTCACCTAATGAATAAAAAAAATGTAAAGAAAAACACACACAAAAAAGTCTTCCCACTCGCTTTTCAGAATTAAGTGTGCTGTTTGTATTTCAGAGCAGGTTATCTATACTGTGCTGCAATACAGGAAAAATAATTTCCAAACATTCAACTGAAAGTTTCATTTTAGGGTCATGGGGCCAATTTTTCAAGTGCAATTAGTTTGATCACACAAATTATATTTGCTTACATACAGATTTACTGTATCAGTTACTACCTCTAAGTTGCTTTCACACACAAAAAAAACCTAAATGGCAACTAGTTGCCTTTATTAATAAATAAAATCTGGGTTTGTAGAACGTATTATCAAACCACATTCCAAAGATTATTTCTTTTTCCCAGACTTACAAAAAAGAAGCAAACATTTTAGCTCACTTTCTACCTTTATTTGGCTTTTCTCATCAGTTTTGTAGTAGTTTTCAAGACTTTTTTCAACAAGCTGTGCAAGTTTGCTGGCTTTATCAGATGGTCCGCTGGGAAAAAAGGAAGCATGCAAAAATAACTTAAATTTCTTCATCAAAACACTAAAATGCTACCTTTAAAACAGAAAGAACTCCCTAGATTGATCCTCTGGTTTCACGAGCAGTTTCTGAACTCCATTCTAAGTATTTCCAATATATTTTCACTCTTACATTATGATTCCAATCTTTGAATGCTTCAGGTATTTCACACAGTAGAAACAGCTTCAGCCAAAAGACTGACATTAGCTGGCATATGGCCCAGCACCTAAACATCTGTCTCAGAGGTAGGAAACGAGAAAGAAAAGAGAAAAGAAAACAGTCAAGCAATTATTTGTTACCTTTGCAGAGAATAAGGCACCACTTCACATTACACCACAGAACGTATTTCCTGACCATCATTTCAGATGCCTAGTTTGACTTCTGTACTCTATCAAAGCTCAGAAGAGGTATTCTCCTCAATACCTCTACTACAAAGAAATCCTGATCCCATCTGCCTCAGCAATTTATGAATTCCTTGATGCCAAGCGGAGTTGCAAAACTACCAACAGGCACAGTTCTGTTGCAGGATTATGCATGTGATATATCAGAATGCAGCATATTAGAACGTCATCCTACGGACCAAATGTGAAACAAGCAGTTCATGACAGAACAGGGTATAGTAAGTACTGTTATATGAACACACACAGAGAAATAATTCACTGCTCTGCCTACACTTCCCAAATTCCTATAATTCCATATTTCAGAGTTGTGGATTAAAAATAATTAATCCACAATAAAAGAAACTATGCTGCAGCCTCAAGCTATTACAAAACAATGTGGGAAGTCCTAGAAGTGAAAGCAACTACACAATACAACACTATTTTTGCCCCACCTTTTATATCGTACTCCTGGATTCTCATCTAGCGTGGCACATAAGGTAACAATTTGTTCAGCCATTACTTGCATTACAGCATCTTTATCCTTTGTCTTTTCCAGAGTTGGACTGTAACAGCGGTAGAACGCATCAGGGACATTGAGAGTAAATACCTATGTAAAGCACAAGCAAGAAAAAAAAAAGGCTTAAATTTTATCTATCTTTCTAAAATATCTGCTGTAATAAAAAGTCATACATAATATACTTAAACAAAAAAACAAACAAACAAACCCATACTTCAGTCCTTTTTCTCTGCCCTGTTGAGCTCATCTGCTTCTTGTTCACACACTCTTTTCCTCTATTGTTCTCCTCCCCTATATAAATTACTATATTTTTCAAATTGCTTACTGTCTGTACAGATGGAGGGATCCAAGACAGGCAGAACTAAATACCATCCAGTGTCTCATACAGAGCCATACAATGCAGTATCAGAAAGATCATAGAAGGTATTAAATTAAATTTGTTTAAAATAGAATTTTACATATTGTATCTGTTTATTATAGGAAGACTTTACCTCCAAGAACTGAAATTCTTTAAATGCATTAAACCTTGATAAAAGATGTTTAGTACCACACAGAAGAAAAAACTTTCAACAGTTCAGTAAATGGAATGCAAACATGGAAACAATCCCATTGTCAGTAAATGGATTTTCTCCACCTTCAAATGGACTCTAACTACAGAGCCAAAGAACAACATCCATCCAGATAAAGATGTTTGTTTCATTTGAGTAGATAATCACTTGGACTTTGCCCAGAGCTCAGTCTGATTATTTACTCTTATCACCCCAGAAAGCAGGCCCAGGGATTTTAAATTAGGAAAACCAGTTAACATTCTCTGTTCCTTTTGTAAGGATTCAAAATGTTCTCACAACCCAAAATACTGAGAACGCTAAACTAAAAATGAGAAGAGACTAAGTGCTACTTATTTTCAACTTTAGAAAAGTAGTCCCAATTTCTACTTTCATTGTAAGTCCTCCAGAGAACGAGGACAACAAAATTTTCACATGCCTTTTTTGGTAGAGGAAGCTACAAAACATTTTCTTAAAAGCAGCTTTAGCATTACTCCCAAAAACAGTTTGAAACAAAGCTTGGGAACATCAACACTAGTGGAAAACAAACAAACCACCACATTACTTACTCTCGGATGGCTTCTCAATCTAAATAATAAAAAAACTTTATTATAAAAAGGAGTGTGACTTCAAACTAAAACTGCATCACAATAAGACACAGATAGCAGCAGCCTCTCCTATACTCACCCACCATTTGGTATATGTAAGAGTTCTGACCCTTGATATGCTCATAAGGTTTGAAGACAACAGGAAAGACTTGTGGGAAACGTTCACGGTTAGTTCTACAACTCCCAGTAGCAGACAGGGTTTAGGGGCTTCACTGTATTAGTGAGTATCAGAGTGCATTTCAGCCTTCTGTATCTGATGAAGTGCATGAGCAACAAATTATTTCTCAACATAATACCCACTGTGTGGTTTCACATGGAAACTGCTCATTGTTTTCCATTGGTCGTCTCAGATTTTTGAGAAAACATGGTTTCCACATTTTCCTCTCAATAAAAAGTTTGCCAAGTTGCTCTGGTTTTTGTTTCTCTTTTTTTTCTTTGTGAGGCTTTGGTTTTGTTCCACTCCAATTCTCTTCATCCATTTGCTCTCTTTTCCCAATTTTCACGAAGTAGTTAGTTCTACTTATTCCTACACACCAACCTACCTAGTCTATCAAAATAACACCTCAGTATAAGTAGTGACAAACTTTACTGCTTACTGAAGACAAGCCAGAATGCTTTCCTTCTCTTAAAGAATAGATTCCTTCACTAACCCCTCTACTGCAACTGACTCCAAGTCTCACAAAAAGGTCAAGTGCAAACAGTAAAGCTTTGAGTACAAGGAGCATTTTTCATCTGAAAAATATAGGCAAACACTGGAAACATGCCAAAACATCAATAGGTCTCACATACAGTTTTTCAATTAAAAAAAAAAAGCTACATTCTATTTAATTGTTTTCTAGCAGGCCAACAACACTTGAAAATAGTGCTCCAGACTATTGTCTGCTGTTGAGATGAAGAATGAAACTTACCTGAGACTCATATGGGAAGAAGGAAATGTTGATCTCCTTGCATCTCCTTATTGATTTTGCACAGGAAGACTTAATTTTATTGAAAAGGTTGTCAGGACAAACTAGGGGAAAAAAAAAAGATTCTAAGTATAAATCATTTGTGCATATTCCAGTTGTTAACTCACTTACAAGCTTACAGTATTCAGAACAATCAGACAGTTCTGAATTAAGAACCAATTAACAGTAACATACAAAAAAGTTGCCAAATCTTCCTGAAGTGAAAGAGAATGTATAATCACTATTTTGTGTTTGCGATCTTTCTCAAAAAGCATCACTGGTCATTTTTTTACTAGCTTTTGGCAAGCAAAGTTGTACAACACTCATTAGCAGTCTGCAGCAGTGAAGGATATTGATTTTATCAAAGCAAAAGTTTCTGCTATTTCTTCTCATATAGGAGACAGAAAACATTTCCCAAGCTACAAAAAGGCTAAAGGGAGAAATAATGGGTACATATCAAACAGCAAAAGACAGAGAAATATGAAATTATCCATCTCAAATGTGTTCTACTACACTTACAGACTACATTGGATCCCAGTCTAGAAACTGAATTTAAGGAATATTTGGATGACACAAATACTACACAGACTTGGAAGCAACAGTGCTACTTCTCCAACTCCTCTCAACATGAAAAGTTTTGGCAAGCGTTCAAACTGAAAGCTTGCACACTTGCAACAAAGGAACATACAGCAAGACAGCAGTATTCTTCCAGAACAGTAATTGCTGCATCAGCATAAAAAGAAACAAGAAACAAAGTTTCCATTAGTAATTTGGTAACTGCTTTTAGAACATATGGTAGCAGATACACACCATCCACAGAGACAGCCATGACTCAACCTCTGCCTTCAGCAGCACATTGGGGCTTTTTGTTTTCCCTTCTTTACATGCCACTCTAGTCACACTGACTGACTGCAGAGGAACATGCAGTCACATGAACCCCATTTGCACTAATTATCTCTGCTTTGCAATTTATATCATGCATACAAGGGCTAAGCAGGCACCTTCTTTCAGGTAATGGGAAAAAGCTGGCTCACAAGTCTGAAGGAACTACCTAAAATAACCAATTACAGAACATTGTTCTTGCAGCAAATTCTCACACATTTATATTTTTGAGTACTATTCTGTTTATATGAGATACATAGTTTTACTTGAATTGTCTTCCTCCACACTCTCCAACATAGGAGAAGACTGGAATACTTTCAAAAAAAAAACCAGCAAAACAAAACAAAAAAAACCCCACCAACTATATTACCTAAATTAAAAGCTGAGGTGGGGAATGATCAACATTGTCTGGTAATTGTGAAAGAAATTACTATTGCCACATGGCACGGACCACGTCCTGGCAACCCATATGTGGTTAATGACTTGAGCCTCAAGTCTTCTCTCAAGAAACAGAACCCCAAATTTTCATGTACTAAACTATAGGGAAGAAAGCTGAGAAGCTTACTTATTTACCTATATAAAGTTATCAAACTACAACACAAAAGCTTACTTACAGTCAGTGAAATACACATATGCTGCTTTGTATCTGCTGGATGATTTAGTGATGAAGTCATCAATAAGTCCATCTACAGACTTATGGGGGTAGGAAAATAAGAAAAAAAAAAATCATTGCAGCATTTCACCTTTCCTCACATACCAGACAAAGCTTCTCCCAGCTTTCCTCCTGCCCTGTTAATTACCCAGTCCCACTTAGTAATACTGCAAATCAACATATAAAAAAAAAAACACTTAAGTAGAAGATTTTCAATTCCAGACCAAGAATAATAAATAATTACAGACGGTCAGTCACACACCAAGATCACTTTAGGAAGCACACAAAGCAGGATACTTGCATCATTTTCCACCTATAACAACGCTAACATTTACTCTCTCAAGAATTTTTAGGAATTAACAGTAATCTCTAATAAGAGACATTACTTTGAATTCTATTGTTCAATGTATTGCATCATTATTTGATACAACATCTCTTTCAGTGAGGTTACTAATATCTAAGCAATGAAACAGTGCCTCCATTGATCAAAAGGTACACATTTGCAACATACTCTATGGTGACACTGCATTGTCTTTTCATTATGGAAAATTAAGCATCACACAGGAGCATCACACAAAATGCAGAAGTACTGTATAGTTGTACACATTAATAAATACTTTAAAATAAGATTGCTTTTTCAATGTGAAAGATCTTGCTACACTTTCTTTAAAATACTAACCTTTTTGGTGGGTGTTATGAAATATATTGCTTTCATGTGTGGGACAGGCTCACGGTTTTTATATACATTCTCCACCACTATAAATGAAGAAATAATACATTTTTATAATTAAGAGCTTTACGCATTTGTGATGAAAGCACCATACATATTATAGAATAGAGGTGATAAAAATAAAATGACAGCAATCAAGTTGTACATAAAATTAGTGGCAAGGACCTATCTTCCGCAAAGAGCACCTTGATTTTTTATTTATTATTTTCAATACAACAAGTTACCACAAGCCTTCTTCAACTCTCAGTCTAGTGCCAACTAAATTTGTAGGACTAAATTTTTCCTGGCTATTCTACCCAAGTAGAGTTTTGCCCTCACACAGGAAGGTATGCCAATGCAAGCATGCTCAAACTGTGGGGCCCAGTATGAACTATGTTGCAAGAGAACTGCCGGCAAGATCATTCTTTTTCCAGCACATCAAAGGAGAGGGGGAAAGAAACTATGCAGGGCATCATTTTGGACTAGAGCCTCTTCTGTCCTTTGTTTTCCTATTTCCTGTGCAATTACTCTGTTTCAATATAATTGCAGGCACAAAATAGACATTTTCAGCAAATAAGCTTCACTCAGTTCTCGGGTTTCTGCTTAATAAAGTCATTACTATATAGTGTTGCAGCACACTAGCTTAAGAATGCCGAGAGATTCATGTTGCTCGGTAATTTTGTGGGGGAGGAACAAGGAAGATAAGTAACATCAGACATCTGGATGTGGAAAGACAGGTTCTTTTCAGTAGTTTACTCACTCAAAATAAAAGGTTTCTTATTGACTAACAGGATACATGCTCACTGAAAGCTTCTCACAAAGGATAAGTAGTATTTCTTATGATTAAAAATACACTCCAAAAAGTGAAATGTATAGAGCTTTGCTATTATACTTCCAGAAGAATGATGTTATACTGAATAGTTGGAGTAAGAAGAGTCTCACTATTTATGGAAAAATAACTAAGTCTAAATAATGCTCTCTTACAAAAGTGTTTCTAAAAATCTAAACCTAAAGCTAATTAAAATGAGATCATTTACATTGTGTATTCATTTCAATTTCAAAAACAGGCAGCAAAAAAGTCTGGCAGGATGATACACTAATAAACATTACAGAAAGGTCAATCATAAAAAGCAACTTTGAAAAGTGTTTTATGATAGGAAAAACATCCTTTAAGTTGTAGGGAAAAAGAGCCCATGAAATTTACTAGAGAGAAAATACTTTTTTAAAATACATGTAGAAAAACAAAGTCTTAGCTAAATCGACATACTGCATAACTGAGATTTATCACAATCAATCTATTACTCACTTTTGACAGTGGCCAACATCAAGGAACAGGAAACACATTCCAGCAGATGAGAAATTCCACTCCACTAGAAACTACTCCCAAATTGTTTGGAAAAGTGACAATCTAATTACTGTTAATGTTGCTTATGGGTTTATTCTAGTTAAATTAACTATTGCTATAATTTAGTTTTCAAGTTTTTATGGTCTTTTTCTTTTTAATTACAGAAAGGTCTCTTGTTTTGAGTGGAGACTAAAATATATCTGCACATCAAACCCAAATTTAAATTCTTGCCTCTATCACATCCATTTGCTTGCAAACACCTCTCAGTTTGTCTATTACTGTCTCCTGTTCTCATTTTGTCTTCAGTACTTAAGTTTCTCTGGCCTTGTATCCTAACTCTGCTGTTCATGAGCATAAATGAATTCAAAGCAGCTGGTACTACTGATTGACAGAAAACATTAGGAAAAAATGCAGAAAGTAATTTGCCTATTCTTGCACATTTTGCTAACATTAGCTTAATTCTTTACTGAGCTCTTGTTTTCCCTTAACTTCAACTGACAGATAATATCCTTAAAATCATTCTGCAACAGGTAATTTTCTCATTTACCTCATCCTGGACATTAGCAAACAAACATGCACACCCTTTACCCGCCCCCCCCCCCAAAAACCCCACAAAATAAAAACCCCAAACAAACAAAAAAAAAAAAAATTTTAAAAGTACAAAACTGAAACACAAAAAAACCCAAAACTACAGTGATCTTTAGCAAAAAGACTTTTAAAAAGGGTTTTAGCTTCTAGGCAGAGAAACATTTGATTTTTCATTTAAAAAAAAAAACAAACCACAAAAAAATCACAGGTGGGTAATTACTGTACAAGCCAGAAAGTCTGCTAGTCTAATATCCCATAGCTACTTCATCAACAAAATTAAGACAGTTTCTTGCAAGGGTACCATCAATTTTACTCCTTCCTTTTTTTTTATCAGCATATTGCCATCTGTATATTAAAAAGAATTATGCTTACCTGTGATACCCTCTGCCAGTAAATCAGTCATTTTGCAGCACAGTGACAGTAATTTAGTGGTGTAATCATCTAAAAGAATTATCTAAATATATTTAAAAAACACAAGTATTTAGATTAATTAATCAGCTATAGTAAACCCATGTTATTGCCTTAACAACTTGCCATGGAAATTTGAAGCTGAAATCTATTTTATTACTCTACATCTTATCACCACCTGCATACAGCAACCTTGCAGTGGGATATTAATCTCAAATAGCATCAGAAGGCAGCTCCCTACAAATAGGATTTCAAAAGATGAGCTCCATCTTAAATAAGTAGCTTGTGCCCACTACACCTACTAGTAAGTATTTTAAAACTTCGACATCAGTCTTTTGAATTTCTGCTAATTTACCCCATGGCCTGCTTAAATATATTGGTACTTATTCTAAAACTGTTTTGCAGCTAAAGCAGCTCTAATACCTATCAATCGTACTGCTGAATCCTGCTCCACATGTATTGCATGGCAGTATGATTTTTTTTGAATTAATGAAGCACAAGTCTTTCAAAAGAAAAGTGAAGAGAAACAGAAACAGTTTCTAAATTTTTTCAAAACTTAAAAAATAATCAACTAACCATTTGTTCTTCCTATACTAGCTCTTAGATTTTTCATTATGTATGACAGACATCTGAGTTCACAGAACTGAAATCCATTACTTGGATAGAAAACAATTTTAAGTTAAAGTGCTAGCCACTAAGTGATACTTATTTGTTGTATACTCAGTGATACAGATTACTTGAACAAGTGATTCTAACATTGCTACAAAAATTATAACAAAACTGTACCTTCCATTCTTCCTCTTTCCTGCAGTCATCAAATACTAATGATTTTAGCTCTGTAAGAAGAAACATAGACAGTTTACCAGTTAGAGGAATCAAATTGTTAGTAAAAAAGAAAAAATAATTCACCCATTTAGACTCATATCATTAGAGACCTAAAAAAGAATTTAAAAAACACCCCACTGACTAATACCTCTACAGAATTCTTCACCACAAACTGTCCCTGCCCATTTCATAAAGATGTAGCTAAATTTTTCATTTTTGCTAATGATAAGCAGCTCCATAAAAATCAGTCTGAATGATCGCAGGCCTGTAAATATTTCACTTTATTTTTTTTAGTGAACTCTTCCACTAAATGGATTGTGCACATGCAAAAAAATTTAAGCTACTCTAAGGCAGGTGGACCAACATGTTCACAAACAGACCTATTTTAAAACATACGTTAACTTAAGTGTCCTTGTTCCTTCTCTAGAATTCCAGAATAAGCCTAAGAAAATACCAATTCTTTCAGGAACCGAAAGTTATCTTAAATAAGATGTATCCATTATCTTTCCCTGCTACAACTTTGGAAGAAATGTCAATTAAAGAGCTTGTATAGGGTTCAGCAATAGCAGTTGCATGTAGTTATGACCCACAGCTTTTAAAGATCACCAGAACCGAGTTGCAACCTTGAGGACTGGCATCATCAGGCTAATGCAGACTTGATCTCACAGCAGTGGTATATATTAATATAAAGTCAGAAGATTTTGGGAACTGTTTAAAACCTGGTGTTTATAAACATAGGAATAAAGAGGTCTGATTATTCTGTTCTCTCTTCCCAGAGAACAGAATTTCAGGTTAAGCTGATGACTACTGCTGTCTATTAAAATAGCTGGACCTTTTTCCCAAAAAAATGAAAGTAATAGAAACAGAAGCCTAAAATACAAATGAGCAAATTCAGCACACACTTTGTGATTACTGCCGAGTGAAAGAACTGTAAGAATTTTCGGAACAGTAGATGCACATACAACAAAAACTACACCTATTTCTTCAGTGTTTATTAATATATTCACTTATGTCCAAGTCCCTTTGGCATGACACTATCGCAAGATACTCCACCTCTACCCCCAACTTCCAGTGCCTCAAAATTCAGCAGTTTCTTCCAGCTGAGCAGCCTACCAGCTCATCCAGCCTTCATTTCATTTCAGTTTCACCAATTCTAACACTGCATAGCACACAACACTCCCAAGATGTCACACTTCATGCTTCTCATGGTTGTATTTTACACAGACATCCTACACAGACTCTTCCGAACTAACACAAGTTTCTTTTGAAAGATGAGTAATTTGTGCTTTAGCTTTCCAACATGCTTTCTCCCATCATGAAAAGAAATTTTATTCTAAGCTATCAGTGTACCAGATACAATGTACTTGCCCCTGCAACATTCCAACTGCTGTTTGTTTTGTCCTCAACCTGCAGCTCCTTTACTCAAATAACTGACCTACGCTGGTTTACAGGCTCTCAAAATTATCTCATTTGTCTGCAGTAAGCATTCTGAATGCACCAAAACCAATCAATCATAAACCCAGGTATGAATAGTGAATAGTGCTCCATTTTTGTCTAAGCTTTCATTTCCTTCTCACAAATTTCATACCAAGTGTGCATCCTAACTACCTTCTCTAATTTTGTCATCTCTGAACACATTCAATTAGTTTAAGGCATTTTTCTTCTACTTTTACTTCCCGATCCAGATAAGAACTACCCACAACCCTGACAGAACAGCAGACTACTAAATCCCCATGTGAAAAAAAAAAAACAACCAACCAACAACAACAAAAAAAAAAAAAAAAAAAAAAAAAAAAGCAAACCACATCTTGGCAAAGTTAATGACCCATTTATAACACACTTCCTGAAGAAAGGACTAGAACAGCTTTCACTGTAAGCAAGTGTTCTGGAAAATAAAGTTGCAGAAATGCTGAATCATTTAAGAACGAATATAGATATCTATGGCTAGATTAGAATCCTATTACACAAGGGTAGAGCAGATTTTAAAGTTGCAAAAAAAAATTAAAGACAGAATCCCTTGTAGAAATAACCTTATTTACAGATACACACAGAGAGATACAGTACATAGTTAATTTTAGAATTTTACCCACAGGAACTACTGCCTCCTAGATAGAGGTAGCTTCTCCCACCCCATAACTGTGAACTTAACCAACAACAAACTTCGGTGAAGTAACTTTTTCACACACTTCTGCTTTGATTCAGTCTAAAATTGCACCTTACAAAAAGGGCTATCATGACAGAAAGAGGGTTCTTAACAGCACCATACCTGACCACAGGTACAACACTCTTTGTACACACACAACACAGGTACAACTTCACCTATTCCCAGAACAACATACAAACTGACAACAAGCTGCTACATGAAGCATCAGCATCACTGACACATTATTTTCAGACAAACCAGCCTTAAAAAAAAAAAAAGTTTGCTGAAACATTAGAAAGCAGCAGTTTTGGGCATTGAATTATCCATAATCGAAGTGCCAGATAATGTCTAAAACTTAGTTTATCATTGTAGTCTTGGAAAGACAAGACTAACTAGTTATCTAACAAAGCATTCTTTTCAGAAGAAGATTCCTTTTACAAAGTTTGCAATATAAATGTTTTACTATTCACACTGCTTCACCATCACGCTAATCTTTCTTTCTCACGGTCTTGTCCACACTGGCAATGCCATTTTCACAAGTCCTTATACAACCTGATGATGCACTAGCACTTTGACCAGATTCCCTCCTCTTAAGGTCCAAGTCTTCTATAAAACACCTCAGGACAAATCAATCGCTTTACAGTCAAAAGCACAAATGACTTAGAGTATGACAGGACAAGCAAAGCAGCAAAAGTAGGGATTTCTAAAGGTCACATTTTAAACAAAAGGGTTCTAACTGATGCAAGCAGGGTACAGATGTCAGCAATTGAGGACTGAACACCACAGGAACAGGCTGCTTTCCTCTTTCTCCCCTTTTTCTATCTTCTCTTGCAGTGAGACAAGCAAGCAGATTGGAGCTTGCAGGTGGAAGCAGAGGAGGAAAACACAGACGAGAAGGCAGCAGGACCATCCAATTTCAGTGACAGGCAGTCACTAGGCTGGCTGAGCTGCTCATGGAGTCACAACCTCAGTACAATTAAGTCCGGCATGAGGAGGCTGCTAATGCCTTTCCCCAAAGGTCTCACAGTACCTTGAAATACTATCAGCTCTTCTACGCCAGTAAGACATGGAGCAGTCACAACTTCATTTTCTGTAACAAACACCAGCAGAACCTGTCCCTAACCATAGGGATAAAAACTTGCAGTTTATTTATGAGAGTACCTGGGGACACCTTCAGCTTTTTCTTCTGAAAACCGTGAAGCCCAGCATAAAGCAGGCAGTGCCACTACGTGACACACAACCAGAGAAGCCCCTTCCGAAGCCGGGAGGACCCTCCAAGACAACCATTTCGGGAGCAACAAGGAAGCCCCTGAAGAGCTGGCTTCACCTTAACCTCTTCAAGAGCTGGCATGGCTGGCCGTATAGCTCACCCTTATCTCGGAATAAAGCAAAAACGTTTCCATCCAGGTGCTATTACGGCAGGCACCGGCGGCACCACCGCAAGCCGGGGCAGCCGCCTCTCGCCACGCCGACAAGTCACTAGCTGAAAGAGCCGGGGAAGAGCAGCCACCTCCAGCCTCTGCCGCACACCGGGCTCCCCACAGAGCCGCCCGGGCCCGGCCCAGCCCAGCTCTGCCACCACCCGCGGCAGGCCCG